AGGAGGAAGTTAAGTAGCATTTATTAAAAGCCTAATAAATTCTTGGCTCTTTACTTATATTTTCTACCTAATTATTTCACAATAACCCTATGAGGTAGAATTTGTTACCTCATTTTACCAAAGAGAAAACTAGTAAAAAAAAAATTAGCATGCTCAAAACTACGGTGGGATACAGACCTCTGATAACTTAAAATGCGTTCCACTGGCAGGTTTTTCTTGCCTCATTGTCTTTAGAGAAGTACAACCCACCATCATTCCCTATAAAGTGTGCTCTTGCCCCCAACCCTGTCTCCGGGAAGCTAGGTGACTCTCTCCAGGAGGTGGCCTCTCTCTTCTCTGTCTCTTTAGGGTCAGGAATGTGGTGGAAAACTTTGTTTGATTTAGCATTTAAAAATCTTTCTCTCCTTCTAGGAACAAGCAGTGATTTAAAGGCCTGTTTAATTCTAATTAATTTAATGACAAAATAAATTAATGTCTATGAAAGGAAAGTTGCTAATTATACCCTAATAATAGGAATGTTTCTCCCAGCCCCAGATGCTGTCAGCAGCCAGCCCTGCTCTTTTTTCCTTCTAGACCCCATTAGCTCACTTTACTCCTTAGCTGAGGACTTTATTTGGATCGGGTAGGATAGACACTAGGAGTTAGCACTCTGGGAATCCAATTTTTATTTCTCAATCTCAGGCCCTTCATGGCGAAAAGCATTTGAACTCTCTTTCCCAGACTATAATTTAATCATTTGTTTCTTAATTTAATTCATGTTGCATGAGCTTATGCCAGTTGCTCGACTGTGCGAGGTACCGAGGACACAAAGACGAATAAAACAGTTTCTGCCCTTATTCATTCATTTCCAAGTTAAAAATGACAAATTAACTCTTGAACCAACCCTACAAAGCCAAAAATGTAGAGGCAAAAGTTCCAGTTCTTTGGGAACACCGGGAAGGGGCATCCCAGCCGAAGCAGGTCAAGGGTGGAAACTGGAGGAGGGAGGTTAGAGTACTTTTACTTTAATGATGGAGAATCATTAGGCAGGTGGGGCCAGGGGACAATAGATGTGGTGACAATAATTCCAAGCAAAAGGAAAAGTAAGAACAAAGGCAAGCAACAGCATGATGTGTTCTGGAATTGAGGCTGTTCCAAGCTTAAGTGTGAATCAAAGAAGAGGAAGAGATGAGATTGGAGAGAGATTAATGGACAGTTAATCATTAACAGTTGCAACAGACACTGTCACTTTCCAGCAACTATTCTAGTCTTTGTGCAGGTATTTACCTTCCAAGTGTCTGGGGGAGGAAAACTCCAGCCCCACTCCCATGCAAAGGGCAAAACATAATTAGTCCAAGCCAGACATGGGACCATGGTCACTCTCAAAAATCTCTCTGGAATATAAATTATTTAGTCATCCTAGCTATGGTTCTTCTAGAAAATACTTAAAAAAAATGTTCAAGAAGAAAGAGTTTCCATTTTGCTTTGGACAATAATGTGCAATATGTGTTGCCTGGAGCTGATGTAACTCTCTTGTGATCAACTTGCCAAGGATAACAAAGTGGAAAGACAGAAGGAATCTGGACCCGTGAAGCTATAAGCCACTGAAAAAATCAACTCCCAAATCACCTTCTGTTCAGTTTTCTTGCTATGTGAGGTAGTAAGTTCCTTATTTTTTACACCTATAAGTCGGGATTTACTGTCCCTGAAGATAAAAGTATACTAACTGGTTGTAGAAATTTGAAATTCTTGGTTTTAAGAATCACATATGAAACAGATATGTTACATACGTAGAAGGTATTACATGTATAGAAGGATTTCTAGAGCTCAAGAAGAAGCTCTAGAAATATTTTGTCCAAGAAGTTGTTTGTCCAAATGAGTAAATTTAAAACCCAAAGGAGTGAGGAGAATTACTTCAGGTCTTATATCTTGTTAGCTGGAGAGTTAACACTAGCATCTGATCTAAGGTTATTTTCTGCTGTACTGTGTGCTGTAATAGGAGATCTGGGCTCAAAAGTATCATAAAGTAGTCTTTTGTCCCATGAATGCCTATCATAGTACCTATGAGTCCAGTTTCTAAAAGAATAAACATAATTTAAGAACCTACTGTGTGTCAGACTCTAATCTAGGAGATTTACAAATATTATTTTATTTAATTTTCACAACTCTTTGAGACTGACATTCATGTGATCTTCATGCTGATGAAAAAATTGAGATTCATAGCTGCTTAGGTGACTTGCTCAAGGTCAAAAAGTGAGTGATCGGGTGAACAGTGGTTATGGATCTCTGGAAGTAAAAGAATGGCTGGAGCAAATAGCAAGAAAGCAGAAGAGTTGGAGGTTTTTAAGAATCCTGAATAACTTCCAATTGCAACTTGATTTCTTAGTAAACTTATTAGTGATTCCTCTAAGTGTTGTTGGGGAAAGCTTTTCCATAGAAACTGATACAGTTTTGCACCTTTTGAAATGCATGCAACACTTTGATGGATAGGGATTGCCATCAAGGGGAAAACTTTTCCTAATCCCAAATTACACCAGAAGACTTCTCATAGTTTCGTCAATCTGGTTGAAGCTAATGGTAAAAATGTTTCTTGAAGATTTGCTGGTGGATATTTTTATCATAATTTGTAGAAACTGCATGGAAATGAAGTCAAATCATGAGAAAACAAAGCCAAGAGATGAAAAGGAGCAGATTCCCAATGACAATTTTTCAACACCTGGATCCAACTGCTCCTGAATTCCACTTACTCATATACCTTTCAGTTGCATGAACAAATACATTTTCTTTCTTGCCTAAATCAATTTGCATAAAGTTCTTTCACTTGTAATTGAAAATTACCTAACATATTTACCATTATGATGACTCAGTTATTATTTTCATTGTTTTTGCTTCTACTGACTGAATCTTTCTACCTAAATGTAGAACTCACATTCAAATTACTCAGGAGTTATGATCTGATGGGTTGACAATTCATCTTGCAGAATTGAGCTACTCCTGGGCAGAGTTCTCCTGCCAGGTCCCTCAAAGACACCTATTCTATGGGTCAACTGTTGATCCTTATCCAATAACTGTGGAGATGATACTAATTGCACATGATATTGATATTGACAGTTTATGCATAAAAAGTATCTACTTTTGCTTTGCTTTAAAGGTGACCTGTGGATTGTGGGTATTATGGGTATTCAGAGCCATAGATTCAACTTTGGACTTCTAAACAATGTTATGCTCCATCTCTTCATGGCATGGCAATTAAACAGTGCACTAAACTGGCTTAGAAGTTGACCTTGTTTGGTACAATAGGAGAGCTTCCAAAAAGTTGCATGTAAATTGAATCCTATTTTAAATATGCTAGAGAGTTTTCTATTGACTTATGTCCTACTGTGAATTCTTTAAAAAGTGAATAATTAGTTTCTAAATTTAGCCTTTATATAAACCTAGATTTTTAAACTTCGGGATTGCCTAAAGTAAGATTCTCTGCAGAAGGGAGTGCAAGCCTCTTTCATTTGTGTTCTTCATAACTTTGAAAGTTGCTGAATGTCCTTTTTCAGACCTGTACCAGCTTATTCCATTTTCTACTTAATGAGTAATCAGACTTTTCTTGCCCATACCATAAAAGTAATCTCACTTTTTATGGCAAGAAAAGATTTGGACTATACCCTCATGGTAAGTGTCTGTAGATTAAGAGAATACATGACAGACCCCTCCCGACCCCCAAATCTTTGCCAAACACACAAGCTCCCAAGGATATTGGAACCCTTCCAAATTATTTTTCTACCACGACTGCATCTATATACATTTTGAAAAATAGCAGTGCCCTTATGTGGAAAACAGTTTTTTTCTTTAAAGCATTGATATTGATTCTCATATGTCTTAGAAACATTCTTTAGCTCCCAGGCATTTGCTAACCCCAGGTTTAGAGCTCCTATGTTTATATCCCTGGAGAGAACTTGATCATGTTATTCTTGCTTTAAAAAGTCTAGATATGAATCTGCTCCACAAATAGTGCCAAAAACAAGTTCAACTTAGAAGTCCCTTTGCGACCTGGCCCCAGCCTCATCTTTTGTCATTAGTTTTGAATTTATATGTTGTGCCTTTATCCATGTTGCTTTATTTGTCGTCATTCAGGAATTAAATATCACTCCTTCCGATAGCCTTACTTTCCCCACTAGGCAGTTGGTAGCTCATTTCTCTGTGCTATGTAGCATATAGTAGGTATTTCATGGCCATGCGTGTGTACTGTAATGAGTTATGTCTGTATTTAGACTGAGTATCTAGGGCAAAGGGTCTCCAACTGGAGCTCTCTTAGAGCCGAGATAAGTAAAGACTTCCTAAAGGGTACCTGGGAATGAATAGTGTTGAGGGAATCAAGTTTCCTATTCTCAACTTCCTTTTGTACTCTTTTCTAAAATTGATTTTCTTCTGAACTCGATTATAGTTATTCTGGGTCTTCCATTCCTTTTGTCATTGCTCTTCTCACTCACACTTAACAAAATAAAGACAAAACTTTCCCCTCGTTTTGCAATTGAACGTTACCCTTAACTAAGCAAAGCATAATTTGAAACACTACTGTTGGCTAAAGCTTCCTTTACTCAATGATTCATATGTCTCCATCTCTTGTATTATGAGGTAAATTGCCCCCCAAAAAGAACATTGTGTATTTAATAATTACTTAACAAATTTTGTAATAGATTAATTCTACCTAATCAATTGCAATGTAACTTGATCCAGAAGAAAGTTTTGACAATTAAGTGTGTGTGTATAAATATTTTTAAAGCAAAGAATTTTGGTACAGTGATAAATAAGAGATTTTCCAGGATGAAACTATTAATTTAGGGTAAAATTCCTTGGAGAAGATGATTGAAAATATGATTTCAGGAATTTAAAAAAAGATGTAAATTTTGTCTTTAAAGAAGGGTTTGTTTATGTAATTTTGTAAATGGCTATAATGGGTATCAAATCACTATTGTATTAAAGTTCATCAGATAGATATAGAAAAATATGAATTTAAGATACTCATGCTTGTGCTCCCTTCGTTAGCACATATACTAATATTGGAACGATACAGAGAAGATTAGCATGGCCCCTGTGCAAGGATGACACGCAAATTTGTGAAGCCTTGTATATTTAAAAAAATAAAATAAAATACTAATACTTAAAATACAAAAATTATATTCTTTGAAATTATTTACAATTTATAATGCTTTTATAAAATTCTTAAAACTTATATCCATTTTGAAATGTGTGAGGGTCTACATATTTTCTCAAAATTCTTCTGGGAGTCCTCTGCATTTAGAGTGAGTCCTAGAGTATTGTTTCTCAAACTTAAAGGTGCATGAATTATTTGGGGGATCTTGTAAAAAGGTAGATTCTAATTCTATATACCTGGAGATAGGAACAGACTGAAATTCCGCAATTCTAATGAGCTCCTAAACAATGGCCGTGCTAGTTGTAGTCCATAGATTATATTTGGAGTAACATGGTTCTGCAGTAGTACTTTGCAAACTGCAGGTCACTACACATTACAAGGTGGTAAAATCTATTTAGTGGCTGCTGTTCAGCATTTTTTTAAATAAAAGCGAAGACTAGAGATTCAAAGAAGAACAAGAAAGAGAAGATAAAATGAAAAAGTGTTATTAAGATATTATTTCGTGGACATTTGTTTCCGTTTTACGGTATTTGCGCTATTTAGGGTCTCAATGTAAAATGTATTTCTTACTGTGGATCATGGGCAAAATGTTTAAATGCCCCTGTTATAGAGGAAAGAGTTCACCTGAGTTACTTTGTTTTCTGATGTCTAGCACAGTACTTAGTAGATAACAGATCATAAGCAAGTTTGTTGGGTGAACCAATGTATGTGTAAACACATGAATACATGTCGTCACCCAGACAACAAAAATCGACATTAGACTTTAAAATTGGTAATTTTAGATTTTTGTGCATTTGTTTTATAAAATCTAACAGAGAGGGAGCAGGCTCTCTGTGGGTGTTCCCTGCTGGTGAGGTTACCTTACAGAAAACATCACAACACCAGAGAAGAGAAGGTACATTTTTCTTGTTCCTAAAGAATGTTTGGTCTCAATAGAATAGAAAGCCAATTTGTATGAAACACCGATCAAAATAAATTGCACAACCCTGACATTTTAGTGAACTTTGGTGATTGCCCAGCTTTTGGGCTCCTCTATTGAATGAGATAGTAATCTAAACCCCGAATGGTTTGTGTGTAGTAAGACCATGTAAATATTTATGTATTTATTTTTTAGGTGAGATTTCTTCTCTTTATGTTTTGTTTGCTGGTAAAGTAATATCTATCATATTTACTGGATTCTTTCTTGTTGACCACGGTATACCAGATAGATAATAAACAACTTATCTAAAAGTGGCTTGGGGATAATTTTGTCTGTAGGTGGGAGGCAAAAGTACATGACCTCTATAGCTCATTTCCCGAAATATGTTCCCATTTAATTCATTTTTTCAGAGTTTTAAAATTACATTCCCTGCAAAAGTGCCTCAAGGTGTGAACATAATAGAGACACAATGAATTCAAATATTTTTAAACAGTTTGTGGCAGAATTAAACAAATAAATGAAAGCAACTAGAAAACAGAAGATTCCAGCATGATCTATGCCCACCTAGAGCATACTGGTCTCACAAAAGCAAGATGGTTCCATTTTTGCATTGGGATTTCCAGGAGGTAAGCTCTCTGGGAAATACAAATGACCAGACCTCTCGGGAAGTGGCTTCCAAAATGAGATTTGTGGCAGAAAATTTAGGCAGATGTCGAAGTTGCAAAGATGTGGGGTTGTATTGTTATTGTTAAATAAAGACCATCAAGAACTGAAGATGTCATATTTCTCCTGCTCGTATCATCCAATGAATTTGTGCATGTCGTGTAACTCCTCTGAGCTTCAGTCTTTCCAACTCTAACGAGAATAATGTGTTTATCTAGTACTCATCTCATGGAAATGTGTAAATTAATATCCGGAAAATATTTTAGATGTATTATATATGCGTTCTGTAAAAATAAACAATTGGGTGAGGTGGGAGGCAGAACAATGTCCCCCCAAAGATGACATATACCAGTTAACAGGACCTGTGGATATGTTAAGTGATATGGCAAAAGTAACTTTGCAGATGTGATTTTAGGTAAGGATCTTGAGATTGAAAGTTTATCCTTAATTATCTGGGTGTGTCTAACATAATCACAAAGGTCTTTATAATTGGAAGAGGGAGACAGGATGCTCAGGGGGATTTTGTGGACTCAACCCTCCATTTCTGCCTTTGAAGATGGGTAAGCGAGGACAAGTCAAGGAATGTGGACAGCTTCTAGACACTGGAAAAGGCAAGGAATGGATTCACCCCTGGAGCTTCCAGAAGAAGTGTTCCCTTGCTGACACCTTGATTTTAGCTTGCTGAGACCTCTGACCTCCAGAACCATAAGATAATAAACTTGTACTACTTATGTCACTGGTTTAATTCTCCACAGCAGCAATAGAAAACTAATGCAAACTAATATAAGTGGTAAAACAAATGTAAAATATATACAGATGGTAAAACAAAAGTAGATGTAAAAATAAACAAAGACCCTGCCTGAGAGGTAGATGTAAATATTGAGTAGCCACTAGCTAATGGATTGGTTAGCGTATGCTACTAATTAGAGAACAGGGTCTAGTTTTGTTCTCTTTATGAGCAAGTTTCACTAATAGAAAACAAAATGAACCAAGTACACAAGCACACAAAAGTCTCAAGTCATGATTGTATCCCTAATCCTGGACAAATATGTCAAAAATGCATTCTAAGGTTTATGTGTAATAGAGAAAAGAAGACCGAATATTTTAACAATTAAATTCTTAAGATTATGTTTATAAAGTCAACTTTATGTTTCAAAGATTCTTTCAGTGTACATATACATAGAAATTGGACTTAAAGTTTGAAATGTACTTTCACATAATTAATACCATTTGAATAATTCACATTTTTGACAGGTATAATTATATGCATTTTACAGAAGAGAAAATTGAGGCTTAGAGGAGTGAAGGAACCTCATAAAAATCACAAAGCTAGTTAATGGGAGAGTCAGGATTCCATAACCCAGATATTTCAACTCTAAAGTCCATCTTTCAGCTCTATGCTTCTTTCAGACCTATGGTTTATGTTGGAAATGCTGGAAAATGCGGGTCAATATGCCAATTTACCAATGGGTCTCTGAGTCCTGTCAAAAATGGGAAGATACATTTAGGTACTTTTAAAGCCATTGGAATTGTTTGATGTGACTCCCAAATTAATAAAATTGTTACTAGTTCTGCTGGCTGTCTTTTCCTTACAAACTGTGAAAATTAAATTCTAAAACTAGGGTATTTGTCTGTGATGAGTACTACTGTTGTGTTAACTATGCTTTTCATGAAAGCAGATTAACCAATTTTAAGTTTAAATTGTCAAATGTCGTCTTGAAGCCTATATTGACATTTCACTTAGTTTTGAAAAAAAATTCACATGTGAGCTTACATGTTCTTGCATGTGTGAGCATGTGTGTGTGTGTGAGTGTGTGTCCTTGTCAGTATGTAAAAGTGCATGTATGTGTATTTGCAGAATCTGGACCAGATGAGCCAGTTAAACCACATATCTGAGAACTAGCTGATTTTATTGGTGAACTTTTAAAGAACTAAAATGTTTATTGGGAACTTTGATCAGATACATTTTAGTGGATCACTAAGTGTGTTACAGCACTATTCCTTGTATCAAAAGCTTACCTTCACTTTTTTTTTAAAGATTTTATTTTTTTCCTTTTTCTCCCCAAAGCCCCCCGCCATTACATAGTTGTATATTCTTCACTGTGGGTCCACCTAGTTGTGGCATGTGGGATGGTGCCTCAGCGTGGTTTGATGAGCAGTGCCATGTCCGCGCCCAGGATTCGAACCAACGAAACACTGGGCCGCCTGCAGCGGAGCGCGTGAACTTAACCACTCGGCCACAGGGCCAGCCCCCGCTTACCTTCACTTTTGCTTTTTCTTTTTGCTTTATTTTGAAATGATTTCTCACATATATATATATATACACTGAAAAAATAATTCAAAGAATTCCTGTAAACCTCCCACTCAGATTCTTGAGATGTTAACATTCTGGCCCTCTTGCTTTATGATTTATTCTTCCCTCTCTCTCAACAAACACAGGCATTTACATACATATTTACATATACATATTCAAATATATATTTTTTGAAATATTCCAGAGTAAGTTGCAGATATTGTTATGAACCAGGTTTGTTTTCAGCCCCCACCCGGAAAGCAAAACACCAAGATGACAAGACTGCAGCAGAGGGAGAGTTTTAATCACAAGGCAGCCAAGTGAGGAAACAGGAGAACGTGTCTCAAATCCACCTCCCTGAAAACGGAGACTCAGGGATATTTACGGGTTAGGGGTGCAAAGTGGTCTAAAACGTGGAGATAGACAATTGGAGGTGAGAAGAGGTGAGGTAATTGATGATCTGTGGAAGCGTAGTCAGACTTCATGTCTCTTCATAAGACCCATGTTCATAAAATGGTGGTGTGAGCATAACCTGAGGGTGGAGTTTCTAGCCTCTTGACGTCAAATAGTCACTTACTGGCCATCTGTGCAAACCCATTTGATGGGCTGGTGATCTCAATTGGCCTGAAATCGGCAAGGGGTTCTAATTCCTGAAAAACAGCTCAAACGCCCACTGCCATGGTGACCCAGACACCAGGGGAATATTATCTATAGGAGCCTAGAGGAGTCAGATAGCATATTGCCTACACAGCATAGTCAACAGTAGGTGGGTGAACAACTAAAACCTATAATCAGTAATTCCAAAAGGGGAAAGAAAACTTTAATTACTAGCTACTTAATCTTCAATGCTGTTTGCTGGTTTTAATGTGGCGGCATTTTATCTCAAAATACTTGCTTATATTTCTTTCTTTCTTTCTTTTTTTTTTTTGAGGAAGATTAGCCCTAAGCTAACTACTGCCAATCCTCCTCTTTTTTGCTGAGGAAGACTGGCCCTGAGCTAACATCCATGCCCATCTTCCTCCACTTTATATGTGGGACGCCTACCACAGCATGGCTTTTGCCAAGCGGTGCTATGTCTGTACCCGGGATCCGAACGGATGAACCCCG